TATATATATATATATATATATATATATATATATATATAATATTCTCGGGTCATACTTGAGGTATGCCCCCCCCCTCTTCGAGTCATACTTAGAAATACCTATAATTTCCTCGAGTAACACTTGAGATCAGTAGGTCACTCTTAATTTTGCTTACGGTGCAGAGATCCCTCGAGTCATCCTTGAGATACTTCAGATACCCAAGTTCCTCGAATCATATTTGTACAAGTCAACCCGGAAACAGGTTGCCACATGGAGATGGCCTCATTGAATAGCCGCTCTGACCTCCACATGTCAACACAGCCACTCTGGGAGGGGGGGGGCATCGTTTTCACAGATTAGGTTCCCTCTTGTATTGCACAACAATAGTCTTTATTAAACTAACACGATGGATGTTGTATTGCACAACAATAGTCTTTATTAAACTAACACGATGGATGTTGTATTGCACAACAATAGTCTTTATTAAACTAACACGATGGATGCTGTATTGCACAACAATAGTCTTTATTAAACTAACACGATGGATGCTGTATTGCACAACAATAGTCTTTATTAAACTAACACGATGGATGCTGTATTGCACAACAATAGTCTTTATTAAACTAACACGATGGATGCTGTATTGCACAACAATAGTCTTTATTGAACTAAGCATTAAATTATTCAGTAAACATAAAAATAATGAAATAGTTCGTAATCTTACTCAAATTCCTGCCCCGGGTTAGGCTATGTTTAGTTAGGTTATGAAATCGTTAGTGATTTGTATAGTTTTAAAACAGAACGTTCATGTTCCTTAAATATTTTTATATTAATGATTTGTGCCTATGAAACCTATTAATTTCCTCAAGTTTAATACGTATAGTTAGCTATTGTTTACGAAGTGAGCAAATACGCTCATGATCTTTGAATTTTGCAGTTGGGAATAAGTTAATTGACGCTTGGCATCTTCTGAAGTAAAGTCATTTTCCTGTTGCAACATAAGAAATGAACATTGCATATGTTTGCCGCGATGACGTTCTTAGACAGTGTGTTCCACTTTTCTACAACTACTATTGTTGAACCAATGTTGTCCTATATCCTTTATATTTAACCTAAACTTGTCCAGTTGAAATCCGTTGTGACGAGTGCTATGTTGATATGGGTTTCAACACCTTGCTTATACCCTGCATTTGTTTATGGCTTTCATCCAAGTGTTTATACTTCAGTCATGCCTCTCTTCGTTCTAGTTTAGTTTAGTTTTTTCATTTATTTTGCACCCCGTATCATCCTGTGGGTGGTAGTGGACCCCCACACCCTTCTTGTGGGTGGTAGTGGACCCCCACACCCATCCTGTGGGTGGTAGTGGACCCCCACTCCCTTCTTGTGGGTGGTAGTGGACCCCCACACCCATCCTGTGGGTGGTAGTGGACCCCCACTCCCTTCTTGTGGGTGGTAGTGGACCCCCACACCCATCCTGTGGGTGGTAGTGGACCCCCACTCCCTTCTTGTGGGTGGTAGTGGACCCCCTCTCCCTTCCTGTGGGTGGTAGTGGACCCCCACACCCATCCTGTGGGTGGTAGTGGAACCCCACTCCCTTCCTGTGGGTGGTAGTGGACCCCCATACGCATCCTGTGGGTGGTAGTGGACCCCCACACCCATCCTGTGGGTGGTAGTGGACCCCCACACGCATCCTGTGGGTGGTAGTGGACCCCCCACACCCATCCTGTGGGTGGTAGTGGACCCCCATACGCATCCTGTGGGTGGTAGTGAACCCCCACACCCATCCTGTGGGTGGTAGTGGACCCCCAAACCCATCCTGTGGGTGGTAGTGGACCCCTCACCCATCCTGTGTGTGAACCTCCCACCCATCCTTTGGGTGGTAGTGGACCCCACACCCATCCTGTGGGCGGTAGTGGACCCCCCACCCATCCTGTGTGTGAACCCCACACCCATCCTGTGGGTGGTAGTGGACCCCACACCCATCCTGTGGGTGGTAGTGGACCCCACACCCATCCTGTGGGCGGTAGTGGACCCCACACCCATCCTGTGGGCGGTAGTGGACCTCACACCCATCCTGTGGGCGGTAGTGGACCTCACACCCATCCTGTGGGCGGTAGTGGACCTCACACCCATCCTGTGGGTGGTAGTGGACCCCACACCCATCCTGTGGGCGGTAGTGGACCTCACACCCATCCTGTGGGCGGTAGTGGACCCCACACCCATCCTGTGGGTGGTAGTGGACCCCACACCCATCCTGTGGGCGGTAGTGGACCTCACACCCATCCTGTGGGCGGTAATGTAAAATGTTATCATTCATTTAAAACAAACATTGAAAGCTTCATTAAGGCTCCATTCAGGTACTGTTAAGCTCTGAAAGCTGCACCAGCGGGAACACATTGACGTCATAGTGACGTCACACTTCAATGTGCACACTGTATTAATCACAAAATTTTCTTTTTATTTCGTTAGGTTGGATTAGGATAGGTTAGGTTAGATTTGTATTTCCTTGGATTTACCTGACGGCTACTCGAGTGGCCTCGGCGAGGACACTCAGTGTGTGTATATACATTCTTGTTTACAGAGTAGCGATGACGTAGAGGGGTGCATACTTTTATCAGGTCATAGACCCTACTCGTCTCTTGTAGTAATTAATGTGCTCCAAAATAAATATAAGAAAGGCGTAAATGCTTTTAATTGTCAATACCCGAGCTACTGGGGACCCAGCGGCCGTCAGACATCCCGGCAGTCCTGCGTGGAACAAATTCAATTCAAATAAGTTTATTGAGGTGTAAATACACACACACAAAGATTAGGTAGCTCAAGCTACTCTCGCTCCCTACTGCATGGAACGGTTCGGTTCAACAAGGCAGCCTCACAGGGCACCGGGATAATTGGATTCAGGGCCTTGTGGTGCTGGGCTTATGGACAATATCTCGTAGGTTGTTGCCCTTGTGACTACGGGCCCACCTAGTTGTGCTTACGGGGGCTGAGCTTTAGCTCTTTGGACCATCTTGGCTTTCGTAAATCTGTGTTCATCTTGGCAACATTTTACACGCCATTTTTGGCATCCAGATTGTTGAGAAAATGAATCTGATATTCTGACTGCCATTGCTCATGCGGTAAAGTGGGTTACGCCGGTGATGTATCAAGGAGTATGTGATGTACTGGCTAGGCTGGAGGTGGTGGCTAGGCTAGAGGTGGTGGCTAAGCTGGAGGTGGTGGCTAGGCTGGAGGTGGTGGCTAGGCTGGAGGTGGTGGCTAGGCTAGAGGTGGTGGCTAGGCTAGAGGTGGTGGCTAGGCTTGAGGTGGTGGCTAGGCTTGAGGTGGTGGCTAGGCTAGAGGTGGTGGCTAGGCTTGAGGTGGTGGCTAGGCTAGAGGTGGTGGCTAGGCTTGAGGTGGTGGCTAGGCTAGAGGTGGTGGCTAGGCTAGAGGTGGTGGCTAGGCTTGAGGTGGTGGCTAGGCTAGAGGTGGAGAGAGGGAAGGGGAGAGGGGAAGTGACAGGAATGTGGATGCTCGGAGAGGTGGTGAGTGGTGTTCAGGGAGGGAGGGGCTACCTTATGTGAAGATTCATCTCCCTACTTTGCCAGTAATACCTTTTGTACGCAGTTTGTGCGCATTAACACCAAGGTCACATTTGTCGAAAGCTTTTGCAAAAGTCTTGTGTATATTACATCTAGATTCTGTTTTTCTTCCATGGCACCTAAGACCATGTCATAGTGATCTAGCAACTGTGAGAGGCAGGAGCGCCCTGTTCTGAACCCGTGCTGTCCAGGGTTATGTAGATGTTGTGAGTTCACGTGATTTGTAATCTTTTTAGCACTCTTTCAAAGGTTTTTAAGATGTGTGAAGTTAGAGCTATTGGTCTATAATTTTTTTCATTTGCTTTTCCTTCTACCTACCAAGGGGGGGGGGAGAGGAGAGAACGAACAGCGGGGAGGAAAATTGAGGACAGGTGCTTGGGGGGAGGGGGAGAATATTTCAGGCATCAAGTAGTTTTCAGACAAATACCCACCGTTGCACTTCTCGCCGTGGCAGACACAAATGGACAGAACTGATGCCCTCTTTACCTAACGCTAAATAAGTACCTGGGAAATAGACAGCTGCTCCGGGCTGTATCTTGGGGGATGTGTGTGTGTGTGTACTTACCTAGTTGTGTTTGCGGGGGTTGAGCTCTGTCTCTTTGGTCCCGTCTCTCACCTGTCACAGTTGAGTTCACCTGTGACAGTTCAGTTCACCTGTGACAGTTCAGTTCAACTGTGTGTGTGTGTGTGTGTGTGTGTGTGTGTGTGTGTGTGTGTGTGTGTGTGTGTGTGTGTGTGTGTGTGTGTGTGTGTGTGTGTGTGTGTGTGTACTAAGATACAGGAAAACCAGGTCGGGGTCGAATCAGTACATTAGACAACAAACGGTTAGAAAGGTGGGATCCAAGAGCTAACATCTTGATTCGACAGGCACACATAGTAATACACATACACACACATACGTGTACTTTTATGTGTATACATGTGTATACTGTACGTACTTTATATTTTTCCGGGGCGGTTGGGACCTCTGCCAGCTGAAATATTGAGTTGGAGTGGTATTTATCTTGGTGTTGAAGACCTTGGTGACTGATGGCAACCCCCCGACCTCTCCCATAGTACATCATATTTTGACGTATAAATATCCTACGGCCAAAAACTGGTGTACTTAAAACCACAGCGGCTCGCAAAATTGTCGTGATGTCCCGTTTTCTACTACTTGGGTGGGGAGGGGGGCTCGGTTAAGTTTAGTTCGGGCAAATTAGTACATCAATTTAGTGACGTTTTTGAACACTGGAGAGATCCGGCTGCGGTGGGTAGCCTAGGTTTTGACGCTTTTCATTAGACTAAACCACTACATTTTTTACGGAGGGGGAAATTGAGTGAACTAAGGAGTGTCTAACTTTCCCCTAAGTTACCCCTCCCTAGTAACACCTTGCCCCTCCTCTCTTCGGAAAACTCCCTCTTCCTCCTTCTCCAAGTAACTGCTGTCCTCCTCCACAGACATTTGGACATCCGGGACGCCATCTTGACCCTGGAGAAGAGCATTAAGGACGTAACCAACAAACTGAACAGACACGAGGCTAGAGAGGCCCAGGTGGCCGACTTCTCCAAGAAGACGCTGGTGAGCCTGGCCTCGGACCACGACCTCACGGAGAAGAACATGCAGGCCCTCGCCAGGCAGCTGGCCACCGTGGAGGAGAGACTGATCTCCACCGAGGCCCTCATCATAACGGTGAGTAGGCCTGTTATGGTTGAAATTGAAATAAGTTTATTGAGGTAAAATACACACAAAGGGATGAGGTAGCTCAAGCTATTCTCACCCCGTTCAGTACATCGTGTTAATACATACATAGACACACATCACAAACAATAAACGTATTACCGAACATTATGAGGTAAACATATACATTTCCTCCTTTACACAAGTAGTATGGTAGGAAGCCTGTTATGGTAGTTAGGTTGTTTATGACTGCCAATTGAAATAGCTGCGGGGGCAGAAATAGCCTAAGCTACTCTATCCCTTTGAGATGTATTTCTTTCTTGTCTCAATAAACATACTTGAACTTGAGCTTGAAATAGCTTCGTGTATTCGTACGTTTGTCAACCGTTTTTTGATGGGGATGAAGAGGGAAATAACACGTGTATGCTATTTTTCCTCTGTTATTTCTCGTTCCTATATAACAGAAAATTGGAACGTTTCCGGGAAATTGATTTCCTTGTGTTCATGTGAGCGGAAGGTACTAGTTTTTTTTTTAGTCTATTATTTAATTAGTAAATGAAAGAATGGCTCTGATAAGTCACCCTATTGTCGTATCCCGTCCAAGTGTTGTACAACCATATTAGCTGTACGCTTTTACTCATAATTACTTCAGACACGTCAGATGTACTGGGCTTTCTCCTCATAATTACTTCAGACAGGTCAGATGTACTGGGCTTTCTCCTCATAATTACTTCAGACAGGTCAGATGTACTGGGCTTTCTCCTCATAATTACTTCAGACAGGTCAGATGTACTGGGCTTTCTCCTCATAATTACTTCAGACAGGTCAGATGTACTGGGCTTTCTCCTCATAATTACTTCAGACAGGTCAGATGTGCTGGGCTTTCTCCTCATAATTACTTCAGACAGGTCAGATGTACTGGGCTTTCTCCTCATAATTACTTCAGACAGGTCAGATGTGCTGGGCTTTCTCCTCATAATTACTTCAGACAGGTCAGATGTGCTGGGCTTTCTCCTCATAATTACTTCAGACAGGTCAGATGTACTGGGCTTTCTCCTCATAATTACTTCAGACAGGTCAGATGTACTGGGCTTTCTCCTCATAATTACTTCAGACAGGTCAGATGTACTGGGCTTTCTCCTCATAATTACTTCAGACAGGTCAGATGTACTGGGCTTTCTCCTCATAATTACTTCAGACAGGTCAGATGTACTGGGCTTTCTCCTCATAATTACTTCAGACAGGTCAGATGTGCTGGGCATTTGTGTACTGGAAATGTCTCTATTTCTCGATCAATTTAGATTTCACCACAATATATATATAACTTCTTTCTGTAAGTACTGTCAGCATCTTTTAATGGTATAATATTGTTGCTCTCTGTCTTAAGTATTGCAATAACTAGGTGATCCCTCCCTCCCTCCCTCCCTCCCCCCCACCCCGAGGCTTGGTGGGACAGGTTGCCGACGGCCGCCACCTGTCCTCTTACAAAGAACGTCGCTTTTCGACCGTATGCGTTACCTAAGGCAAAAAAAATTGTCGTACTAGAAAATGGAAGCGGCTGGCGAAAGTGACGTACTGTCCCGTTTTCTGTTTTGGGTCCTCGCTATAAATTGACCGTTTTCTTGGCGTTGGGAACCTTAGGAGGACGGACTGCACCATTGGAGCACCTAGAGACTTGGCTTAAGTTGTGCTAGAAAATAGATGTTTTAAAAGTCTCAAAGGTGATGTCATGGGATGTCCAAATCACAGTTCAGAAAATGACGAGACGACGACGTTTCGGTCCGTCCTGGACCATTATGTAGTCTACAATGGTCCAGGCAGTGTATGCCTGGTTCGCTAAGGCAGCGTGTGCCTGGTCCGCTAAGGCAGCGTGTGCCTGAGGACGGGTTAAATAATAACAACAGCCAGTTAGTGAAGAGTCTATATTGTCCATTGTTAGAGGACAATACACGCGTTGTGTATTGTCCATCAACACTTTAGTTGCATAAAAGCAAATACAGATTTTATTGTAGTTAAAAAACTTACACACCTAACACCATGATTATTTTTTTTACGGTATTGACCACAGAGTCGACAAATTCCATGGATTTACTGGCCAAGGTTTTGACAACAGTCAAAGAGATACGGCATGATGGGAGTTAACTGCTAGGTGAACAGAGGCATCAGGTGTAAGGAAAAGTGTCCAGACGTCTCGCTGTGTCCGGAACTCCAACTCGGGTCTAACCGGTTGTAAGCCGACTGCTGCAGCCAAATTACTTCCTGTGAGACAGTAGCCACCTTTTGTGCCCTGATTGGAAATTCTTGGATTTGTTTCAAGTAATTAAGATCAGTAATGTGGACTTGGGACTCGTGGTGATTGGCACTGGGAGGGGTCTGTGGTGATGACTCTGGCCGGGTTGTGATTGGGAGGCTTGTAACTGGCTCACAGTCAGACTTAATAATACTGTTGACTATATCAGTGAGTCAGTCAACCAGTCAGTCAGTCAGTCAGCCCCGTCTGTGAGTCTGAGTGTATATGTCAGCGAGGTTGAATTGATAGGTCGGTCAGTCAGTCAGTGAGAAAGTGAAGGAGTCAGTGAGAAAGTGAAGGAGTCAGTGAGAAAGTCAGTCAGTGAGTCAGTCAGTCAGTCAGTCAGTGAGAAAGTGAAGGAGTCAGTGAGAAAGTGAAGGAGTCAGTGAGAAAGTCAGTCAGTGAGAAAGTCAGTCAGTGAGTCAGTGAGTCAGTCAGTCAGTGAAAAAGTGAAGGAGGCAGTCAGTGACGCCTGGTGAATGCTAGTGGCCACTTGTCCTTCCTGAGAGCTTTCTTAACCACTCTCTTGAGCAGTCTCTTGGAGTTGATGATGGTGCGAAGGGCAGCCGTGGGAAGACTGTCGAGGTACTTCACCAGCGGCCCCAGCTGGCCCTCCACATACGCCTGCACCAAGAAAATAATAAAAAAATGAATAAAAACACACCGAAGAAGCCCAAGGAGGTATATATTAGCCTAAAGGAGGCAGCTCCATAACATATGTCTATCCTACGCTTCAAAGACTCCAGCGATCTGTTACTCGGTAAACTTATACATAAATCAACAGTTAAATAATGTAGTTTACAAATGTGAATGTACTCCGGATAGCTTTTTTTTTTTTTGAGATATATACAAGAGTTGTTACATTCTTGTACAGCCACTAGTACGCATAGCGTTTCGGGCAGGTCCCTGGAATACGATCCCCTGCCGCGAAGAATCGTTTTTTCATCCAAGTACACATTTTACTGTTGCGTTAAACAGAGGCTACAGTTAAGGAATTGCGCCCAGTAAATCCTCCCCGGCCAGGATACGAACCCATGACATAGCGCTCGCGGAACGCCAGGCGAGTGTCTTACCACTACACCACGGAGACTGTGAGTTGAGACCCGCCCAAGACTTTTGGTCTTGGGCGGGTCTCGACAGAGGAGGGTGTACATGAGGAAGTCACCTTGAGTGCCAGGCACTGGTCCTCGGATCTGACGTCGTCGCTGGAGCCCCAGACAACGGCGCCCTCCAAGCCCAGCACCCGGGTGAAGCCCAGAGTGTTGACCACGTCCACGGGCAGGAGGAGGCTGGGGGAGTCGTGGTACCTGTGGTCAATGGTAAACACTTCAGTAAATAGGTACCTGGGAGTTAGTCAGCTGTTACGGGCTGCTTCCTGGTGTGTGTGTGTGTGTGTGTGTGTGTGTGTGTGTGTGTGTGTGTGTGTGTGTGTGTGTGTGTGTGTGGTGTGGAAAAAAAAAGTAGTTAGTAAACAGTTGATTGACAGTTGAGAGGCGGGCCGAAAGAGCAAAGCTCAACCCCCCCAAACACAACTAGGTGAACACAACCTGCACGACGATCTATAGACGACACACAAAACTGGTGAAGAATGAAGACAAAGATAATTTCAAGCAACGAGAAAAGGGTCTAGACAACCCTGCAAGATTGTACATAAAAAAAATAAGTATTGCCAGAGTTCAATCCCAGCAAATGTAAGGTAATGAGAAGGACCAGAGAAGAAAGGAATCAAGCAGAAGTAAACAATATAAAAAGCAAGTATCTACACAAGTAGATACTTATCTACTATCTATTATTATCTATTTATTAGCAAGTATCTACACAAATAGATACAGAAAACTGGTCCGTGTTTAACACTAAGTTTAATATGTTAACACTAAGCTTAATATGTTAACACTAAGCTCAATATGTTAACACTAAGCTCAATATGTTAACACTAAGCTCAATATGTTAACACTAAGCTCAATATGTTAACACTAAGCTCAATATGTTTAACTTTAATGCTCCATGCACTATTTAATGCACTAACTTTAATGCTCCACATCTGCGTGAACAAAACTACATCAAGAGATTAATTGCTCAAGGCTGGCAAAAGAATAGATGTTCTTCAAGTAACTAAACAAGAAATCCTTCAAAGCACTGTGGAGAGTCCGTATAACACCAGTCCTAGAGTGAGGGAGAGACAACCTGGAACTCCTGCCTCGTAAAACAATTTTTTTTTATATTCAGGTAAGAGTACATACATACAAGATGAGTTACAAATATAATGTTGGCTTTCTAGATGGAGCTAGTACATATAATACCTAAAGCCACTAATACGCACAGCGTTTAGGGCAAGAAGCGCAAGAATCTTGACAAGTTAAGTCTGTACATTTGCTACAAGATCAGTATTAGATATATTATAACTAAGCTATGAAGACAGAGTGAACCTAACAACATCAGAGAGGAGAAAGGTCATCGGAGACATGATCATTATGTACAAGATATCTTAGGAGGGATGATAGACGACGTGGTCAGGGACGCCTTCTATTTCAAATGAAGGAACGATGAGCAAAATGTGAAATTGGAACGACAAATGAATGGGGGAAGACAGAGAGAAGTGGGAGAGACATAGAAAGCTTCCTCTGTGCAGTGAGGGATGTAGACAAGCGGAATGCACCAGGTGTGGTGGTGAGCGCCGCCTCTCTGCTATCTGTCACCTTCAAGAGCAGATACGATAAAGCACTACAGAGTCAAGAGAAATAACTGCACCAGGTACGTGACAGATAAGAGGCGGGCCCAAGAGCTGAACTTCCTTTCCCGGTGACATAGATACATCAGAACATCACTCCCACCCACCCCTATACATATATCGAAGGCAGATCAACACACACAACGTTCTGAATCCTTCAGAACCTTGTATACCACGTATGTAAGACCAGTCATGGAGTATGCAGCCCCAGCATGGAGCCCGTACCTTGTCAAGCACAAGACGAAGCTGGAAAAAGTTCAGAGGTATGCCACTTGGCTAGTCCCAGAACTAAGAGGCATGAGTCACTACGGGCTCACCATAGCCCGTGCTACTTGGAACTTTTTGTTCCCAGTAGCTTAATCTATAGCAAGGGGGTCGGGATAAGGATTTGGGATGGGACGGGGGAAAAGGAATGGTGCCAACCGCTTGGCTATTGTTGTTTTAGATTCAGCTACTGGGAATAAAAAGTTCCAAGCAGCACGGGGTATGGTGAGCCCGTCGTACTCACCTGGCACAGGAGATGTGCGTGAACCACTTGGACGGTCGGGGACTGAATGCCGACCTGCACGTCGCTCTACCGTCCAGCCCAAGTTTATAATAGTGTGGCCCAACTAATAGAAAACTCTAAATAAATAGTGAAAATTCAACACAAACCAATTATCTTCCTAAATATGACTGTAGTTATTTCAGTACGACTGTAGACGACGTGTAGAATGTTGTGTGGCTCTCAGGCGAGCTGATATGATGAAAGGCAGCCAAGAAGCTCTATAACAGTCAGAAGACAAATACAACTGTTCCAGATTCGACAAAGAATTGGAACGTTAGATTAGTTAGGCTTTAACGCAACGGGTCCCAGAAAGCTAGTAGAGCCGGGGCATAGAGAGCTAGACCTCACTTCCCCGTAGTCACTGAAGGCGAGAGGTCCCTCACCTGTACCAGAAGTAAGGGAGGATGGGGATGTTGACCCCAGCTCGCTGCCGCATGCGGATGGCTTCAAGGAGGCGTCCGCGAGTGTTGAGGCGCCGCGTGGCGGGGTCCCAGCCACTGTCCTTGAAGATGTAGATGCTCGGGTAAAGCGCTGTGCTCATCTCTATCAACCACTGCGTCTCGTTGTTCACCTCCATCACCTGCATTATAAGAGAGAGAGATGATGCTTCACACTGAAAAATTACTTGTTTTTATCCAATATGATTTGTATGACACTGTTGTGTGTGGGCGTTGTTGCGGTGACTGTGACTAGCCAATAACAAGAAGAGTATCGTGTACTGACCAGAGGCTTGCAGTCGCCAACACCAGGGCCATAGTTGTGACAGTAGGGGTAGTGGTAGTAGCCCCAGAGGGCATCCGGCCGCAGCGCGCGACCCGTCCACAGCAGCGCCTGTGGGAGGGAAGGTAGAAATAGCCTAAGCTACTCTATCCCTTTGAAATGCATATTTTTTTCTTGTCTCAATAAACATACTTGAACTTGAAGCAGGGCAACCAGTATAGTCTCTTCACACAACATTCTGAATCATACTTTTATGTACGCGTTTAGTTGAGTCAATCGAACTGCTCTGAAACAATCAATCACGATATTGTGATTTCATTATGCAACAAAAGACCACTGTAGCAGTGGCCCTTATCATGACTGTACAGTGAGGGAGAAAAACTAGTGACCTGGGAACCCCAGTCTTGAGAGGTTTCTGATCTTCTCCTTCCCCCCCTCCCTACAACCTCTCCCCCCATCCCGCTCTCTCTCTCTTGATAAGAGTAACATTTATTATTACTGCTTTTCATAAGGCATAATTGCGTATGTATGCTACACACATTCTACTCACTAGCCACCTGATCAAACAGCCAGTCTCAAACCCTGTAAACTTTATAAAATAGACATCAGTAGCATACTCAATGGTAATAGGGATATATATACTCATGAGAGGTATACTCTACTTTCCGGTGGGTATACACTGAGGGTTTACCTTAGACCTGCACATTGTCCTAAAGATTGGTCCGTAGGCTTCAGCGTCATAGCCTTATCCCTTCAGAGGTTGATAGACCATTAACCCAACACCAAACCAATTGGTACGAAAGTTTACCTGAGTTTACCTGAGAGCCACTAACACTAGTTGCCTTGACGAGGACACGAATCCGGCGGCTTGTCGAAGGTCCCCCATTTGCCTTGATGATCTTTTCCCGTTGTATTTAAAAGTTAACAGAATTTTGGCATTTATGGCTTCGGTGGGTAGGCGGTTCCATGGGTTTAAAACCCTGTGGGTGAAAACGGATTGGGACAAACGGCCAAATTCAGACGTTATTTGTAAGAGGACAGGTTGCTAACCTTGTTGAGCTTGAAACCGTTGCTCCTTGTTTGTGTTACATCTGACATTTTGAAGAAATTTTCCGGACCAACATCCTCCAAATTATTCAGCATTTTAAAAGTGTCAATAAGATCCGTCCATAAGAGTCAATGAGATTTCAATAAGATCGAAAAGATTCAATAAGTGAACCGACACCCTCTACTTTTCATCTCCGGGGAGCGTCCATGCACCCACCTCGAAGTAGTCCCTGGCGGAGGCGTTGAAGGTCTCCTCTGCGAGTTGTTCGACCTCGGATGGAGGGAGAAGTGGAAATTGATCGAGGACCCACTCTCTGGACGCCTTGCGGTACTCCGGCACACTCATATCCAGGCTCGGGTAGTACGACTCGAAGTCCAGCACCGCTACGCCTGCATTACAATGGATGGTGGTTATCATAGGTGTACATCCGCACGCTCTCTCTCATCTCTGTTGGGTGTATATTATCACATATGAATATTATATGTGTCTAAGTGGTCTGTTTTACTTAATATATGTAATTAAAACACATATTACTGAATACTGGATTGATCTGTCACCTTTTGTGGTAAAGGAAAACGGTGTGGCATGGGTGACTCTCATAATATACATATCAGCCTATCATCCTGTTTAGATGGTGATGGAGATGAGGAGGGCGAGGAAGATGAGGAGGGTGAGGAAGATAAGGAGGGGAAGATGAGGAGGGTGAGCAAGGTGAGGGGAAAACGGATACAAGGGAAAACGGATACAAAAGATACATTGTAGCCGTCGCCCCTAACGAGAAATGGCAAATTAACACCTAAACGAGTCAGAAGAACACCAGGAAGAACTTTATGTATACAGATTGCGAGAACAAGTAGCCAGCTAAGAAAGAGAGGTAATGAAGACTGACTTCCATACACAGATACACAATTAATCACGATAAGTTCAATCAACTACACCAGACCGTGGGGGGGAAGAAAGTGACATTGAGGATGTCTAGGACTACTGGACTCGCCTGAGAAGTTAGGTTGCATTTGATGGCGGACCTTATCAGCGAAGGCTTGAACATGATGGGACAGGTTGCCGTTCTGAGGAATGCCGCCGTTCACCGGCACGGTCCCGTTCAACCAGGGGAATGCCCCAGGGTTGTAGAATATCGTCGCCTGGGACCGCGGAGAGCACGATCAGGGGAAGAGAAAGATGTAAACAACCTGTCCTCACACTTAATGCACTACATATACGCCTTTGAGCGTCAAAATTCCGGGGCATTAGTGAAATTACAAGCACCATAATGTTGACGTTTCCCGGACAAATGTACATGCCTAACTCAACACATGACACCATCCTCGTACTCACCTTGTCTCCATAGAACTTGTCATCGGTGTTCTGAACGATACCGAAGGCAGCGGCGTCGACGTAGACACCGAACTTGTGACATGCGTCCGTTGGGGAGTTCCAGTAGACAGTGAATCGTGCGTCACATAGACGGCAGATTACCGTCAGTGCTAGCAAACAGCACGCCCAAGCCACAGGGGTAGCCGGTGGACGGTTAGCCATGAGGGTGGCTTTCAAGCTTATCGCCGAGTGTGTGTGGTGGTGAATTGGTTGTTAAGGGGGTGTTTCACATTAAACTGATGGAGTGCGTCTTGTGGGGAAGGTTAAGTGGTAGTGTAATCACAGCAGAGGAAATGGCTTTCGTATTGGTGGCAGAGGTTGTTGAAGTAGTGATTAGTTAACAGCGGAGAGACGTAGGCCAACTAGTGGCGTATTAAAGAATGGAGTGCCTTGATCCAGTAGTAGTAGAGAGCAATGTAGCTGCTGTCACAATTAACGTTGCTGCTCAGGGTTGTAGTGGTGTGACCGGTGGTTGTATTCCCAGCAGCACACACACACACACACACACACACGCGCGCGCACCCTGCTCCTGTCAGACTGATGCCCTAGCTATCGGGTGACAGAGCCAGGCACCACAGCCTCTACCTGATAAGACTCTATTGGTCTTACCGTCCTCCCTCCCATCACACCATTCCCCACCACGCCCCCCTCACACCACTCCCCGCCCCCTCACACCATTCCCCGCCCCGCCCCGCCCCCTCACACCACTCCCCGCTCCGCCCCGTCACCTGCTGCACGGTTGCCGTGTTGTTGAATGATTAACAAACTTGGGTACGCAACATTCTGCTTGATACTCTAATCTTTTTAAGGGATAACAGAAAGTAGGTCGAGAGATAGTAGCTAGTATATTAGTGACTTGATATACCCGCCTTGTAGAATGATGCGTCATACTTGGGATGAGAGTAGAGTAAGGTAGCCCTGTACTAGCAAACGTCGGCTAGAATATGAGGATATCCTCAAATATTCGCGAGTAAATTCAATAATTTTCAAAACTAGATATCTCATGCCTAATTATCTAAAATCTTTTATGAGTGGGCATTCAGTAACATAATTTTGAAGGGGTGTTCTAATTTTGTCCATACTGTACAGTTGCAGTGTTAAAGTGTTTGAGATTCATTATCTGCTTTAACGATATGGAAGCTTAACTCTGGTAGTTCCTGTCACACTGGTGGACTCCTTGTGTTATCCGTGTAATATACTTCTTAATATTTCATAATTAAACTGTGTTTGTTGTGTGGTGGAGAGTTGTTACTGTGTGGTGGAGAGTTGTCACTGTGTGGTGGAGAGTTATCACTGTGTGGTGGAGAGTTGTCACTGTGTGGTGGAGAGTTATCACTGTGTGGTGGAGAGTTGTCACTGTGTGGTGGAGAGTTGTCACTGTGTGGTGGACAATTGTCACTGTGTGGTGGACAATTGTCATTGTCAGTCAATCATGAAGGGACCAGCACGACCAGCCCTCACTCCTCGGTGTCATGCAGGCTTAGTGCCCGTTGATCACAAAACTGATCGTACCGTACACTCTCGCCTAATACAGTGTACAGTACTAGTGTTATGTACGTCCCTCTTGTGATCTTGCCCAAATCCGGAGACTTCACCTCCGGTGAGGTGCTCGGAACTCTGGATTATACACTAAATTAATCCCATTTTAACTAATATTCACATGGGATTATAACTTAGCTGACATCCGTTGGTCACTAATTCGTCTTGACTTTCAGCACAAACGAGTCTATATTCATGGGCTCGCTAATAAGACTGGCGTCCTCTACTGCTGTAGTCAGGTCACCATGCATCAACGAGACCTTCGGTTAACTGGTTCAGTGAGCTCATTTCTTTGTAGCATCTCAAGTGTTGTTGCGTACAGCTGTTGTGCAAATTATTTTCTTCGGGGTGAGTTGTGACACAACACATCGTTCAACCTGAAGCCTAAGGGCTTGGCGACCTATTTATTCTGCTTCACTTCGCCCTAGACGTTTCCTTGCTAGACATTTTCACTTCTTGGCCGGTGGATTTGTGTCACACTTAAGGCCAGGTAATGCTTCATTGCACTGACAACAATTCCAGTACAACCTATGATGCGAGAATTATCTTATGACAATAAAAATCAAATAATATAAAATTATGACCACTTGGGCTGGACGGTAGGGCGACGGTCTCGTTTTATGCAGGTCAGCGTTCAGTCCCCGACTGTCCAAGTGGTTGGGCACCATTCCTTTCCCCTGTCCCATCCCGAATTCTTAATGCTGACCCCTTCCAAGGGCTATATTGTCGTAATGGCTAGGCGCTTTCTCCTGATAGTTCACTTCCCTTATAACATTACACCCTTGGGTTCTCGACTGCAAGCTATCCGATATACATCATTCATCCTTCACTATTCTTCCTTGAAGACGAGTTTGACTTAAGGTAGCAGAGTCATGCGACGCTCCACAAGGACTTGGCACTGATAAGACAAAATCCCAACTATGTGACGATCTCCATAGCACCAGCAAACGTCTGCTACTCTACCTGCACTTTTATGCGTCAACCCTGGCCATCATTATGGCATTATACATCAACCCTGGCCATCGACTTGGGTCAGAACGTATGCTCAAGTCTCCCCAAGCCGCGGCGTGCTGCTATAGGCTAAAGTCTAAAGTGCTGCAATAGGCTTTTCTCAATCTGGTCCTTCTCTAAATGGTCATTTTCGATTTCAAAGGCATCTATATGATGTCTCTGGTCCGTTGCAGCTTCCCGTAAATGGAGAAGTCCAGTCTCTCTTTATGCTTGGCTACTCGACTTCACATGCATGATTTCTATACTATTAACATAGAACTTAACACATGTGCACGATTTTTATCCGCAAAAGTTAGGCTACGTAAAAAGTTAAACCAAGATATTACAGGAGTACATGCTATGAAACGTGCTGTTACATGAGGTCGTATATATCCTTAGAGCAGGTAGAGTAAATGACCTGAAAATGCTAATTACAGTATCTACTTACAATATATAATGACTTCAACTAGTGTACTATGGTCTATTGTTCTATATCTCTATAAGAAAGTTCGTATTCAATTAGCTACCCTAAGTGGAAAAACCTTCGTAAGTTCATTTCGGGATTTAAGTGTGGTTTCGACCACTCGTAGCTTTACGTAAACTGGATATAAGTCATTTTTTCTCTACTACATAACACTGAGATCGACCAAAATGACCAAAATATTATAGCTGGTGAATCTAGTGAAGAGTAATCCTTCGTGTTAGTTATATATGCATTCTCTGCTTGAAACTTGAAGTAAATATGTGTTTGATGATAGTAGAATTAGTTTTATAATAGCAAGATATTATACCAGTAGTTATTAAGTAAATAAACACTGGTGAACATGAAATATGAGAGAAGGTGATGAGCCCTGCCTGATGGGATCATTTACTATCACCAAATGCCCCTGTTCACCTAGTAGTAAGGGTGTACCTTAGCTATACATACCCATTTCTAATTTATTTAGTTTGGTTTTATTTTGAAATTAAATCTGGGTGAGACATAAAATAAAAATATGCTGCACAAATGATGTTAGGTGAGGAAAAGGGTAAAAATGTCAAAAACTTTATTCATTGAATACTTAAAGCTATAATTATGACTATATAGATTATTAAAAAAGAGAGAGGGAAGTAGGGGTCCAAGACCTCTTCCTGTTATACAATTTTGGTGTGGAACAAGTAATTATCAAAAGAAGGCACCATGCCGGGAAGGCTATGTAGCAGTAAGGCAGTGAGGTGAGGCAGCTACTTATTTGAGAAATGCTTATTTTATTTACCTTATAAGCTGAGGCAACTTATTTTATTTGAGGAATACTCAGCTGATTCCTCTACATTTAGCATGGAACAAATTTTTGTCCAAGACCTTTTCCTGTTACTCAATTTGGCTGTGTGTAACCAAACTAGAAGTGCTCTACAAATCAAGGGACCCAGAATGTGGAATGACCTCCCGAATCATGTCAAAGGCTGTACCTCTCTCAACCAGTTTAAGAGTTAAACCAAGTACTGCCTAATTAACTCCATGTAACCTAACTTACCTCCTAAATGTCAACCCATGTCTTGCTATTTTTTAAACAACGCTGTTCACCAACATGTGCAATTGCTGATTTATGCTATGTTAACCCCCCTTTTTGTATTTTTTATTCCTTCTTTCAACACAATTTATACCTAATCCCGATTACTATTAAGTTTTAGTCTGTGTTTTTTCCCCCACACCTTGCCCGAAATGCTATGAGTATTAGTGGCTTTAGGTATTGTATGTACTAGCTCTGTCTATAAATCCAACATTATGTTTGTAAATCAACTGTATGTACTTTTCCTGAATAAAATGTATTTATTATTTATTTTTTAATCAGTAAGTATTAAAAGAAGGCACCAAGCTGGGAAGGCTATGTAGCACCTTTGTGTGTAACAATAAACCAAATTTTTTTTTAACAAATAATGCACCTGTATGGTAAAACAAATCCTGTCAGCTGTAAAAATATTGATGCAGTTATTTAAATGAAAAATATAATGAAAGAAATATTACTGGTTTATTTTTATCCTATCTTTTTGTACTGTACAGTGTATCCAAGGAAGTGAAAAATTGAGACATAATGCACAATTTAATGAATGATTAACATGGATTAGCAGTTCAAAAGAAATATGACTATTACATATCAACATGAGATTTTAATGATCCATAGTCAACATGATTTAATAAGGATAATACAGTACTGAATTTGTAATAATACAAACTATAATTTAAAATCTTTATTACTGATTTTTTTATTAAGAAGATTAGGTATACACAGCAATGTACCTATTGTACCTAGCAATACCCTATTCTATATGGAATATTACACAGTGTAGATAAAAAACTAGCTATAAATTTATCTAATACTCCCATCTCGCAGGATGGTTAGACATACTGTACATGGAATCAATTTAGAAAATACCAGCCTCAATACAAAAAACAAATCAACTCTGACTAAACAACTCTAAGCAATTTTCACAAAAGGTAAGCACTGAATCATGGAAACATTATATTATAATTACTCTTACCAGTTTCTACAAGACTCCTCTCAAACAATGTATTTTTAAACATGTTTAGGTATACACAGCAATGTGCTGCTTCCCTATTCATTTATTTATTTATTTATTTATATATATACAAGAAGGTACATTGGGTTTGAGAGAATACATAGGATAGTACAGTACTGTATTTACATTCTTGTAAAGCCACTAGTACGCGCAGCGTTTCGGGCAGGTCCTTAATCTAGCAGATAATTTTAAGTAGGTAATTTCAATCAGAATTGATAAATGAAAGATACATTACAAGAGAAAAATGAGATGAGAGAGACTGTATTCTGTATAAAGGACCACACAGATCAAAAACCAAAGGATCAAAAACCAGCTACAAGCTCATCCAACATCCTCACCTCACAGGATGGCCAGTCATACATGGAATTAGGAGAGAACAAAATACTTAATGCTGATCTATTAGCCTCCACTGGCAAAATCTGGGTGCAGCACAAGAATATCTTCCAATATTCCTGAGTGTATGAAGTAATTACAGAGCTCAAAATACCTCATACCATTTGGTATGAAGTCACTGATAACAGGACAATCACAGATATAGTGTTCGAGAGTATGTTCTCTCAAGTAGGACTGAAAACAGATGTTTTTTTCCACCAAGAGGGCTATAAACCCATGGAACCGCCTACCCGATGAAGCCGTAAATGCCAAATTCCAGCTAAAAAATATCATTAAGACAATTGGCGGGTCCTTTAACAAGCCGCCGGCTTTCTGTCCTCTTCAAGGTCACTAGATAGTTAGTGGCCCTTGGGTAAATTCAGTAAATATATACAATAATTGTCAGCGCATCTTCCGAGCAACAAGGACAGCTACACAGTATCTCTTAGAATTACGTAGGTAAACAACAAATGTAACATATTTGTTTACTACAATGTCGGTGCTGGCTGTAGAAGTTGAAAAAACATTGTTTTACTTCGAAATATACTAATTTTATAGGAAAATTCAACGTAAATAGGAGGCAGTAGAGCTCCGATAAACCAGCGCTAAATCTTCAATATGAAGAATGTTGCTGCTCTCTGATTGGCCAAACGAAACACAGTAGTGACCTCTATCGGCACGCAGGTGAACCAACAATTTTCTTCTTAAGTGGACCTTATTGAATCGCACCTAAGCATCTTCTTAGGGCGCACTTAGGAACCTTCGTAGCAAACCCACTTACGAAGAAATACACAGAGCTTCCTGAATCTAGGTCCTGTACAATTGTGTGTTTACCAGTCGTGAGTCTCCGAGTAAATACGAGTAATATACATACAGTTAAATATCTTTGCTATACTACATTTTTACAGGTATCTATCTCTAGCATTTCAACATTAATGTACTTTGATACCAAGTTTCTTAGACTGTATTTGAGCACTGTAAATGTTGGCTCAGTGTTTGAACAAAACTGAACACAGGAAGAGGGTTAGAACAAGTGCAGAACGGAAGTCTCTCACAGGTGCGAAATTTTCCCACAGGTGTAAAATTTTTCCACAGGCGTGGAATGTTTTCTCAAAGATATATGAATATTATTTTATAAGTTTATGTACACTTAGGACCAGGGCAGGTGTTTTGGTTCTATTGATAATTATTTGTTCATACAGTACGTAGATGAAGCATTTAGAGATGTGCGATTCGAACATAGGAAATGAGTGAATCGCTCCTAAAAAAAAAACTTCATACGTAATCAGTTGCGAGTCACGTGTAGTTTTTTTCATTTCTGAACAAGGGGGAGCCTAATGGATTAACGAGCATTTGGTAAAGTGTATAATAATCAACTTACAGGAATTCGAACTTGGTTACCCTTGGATTGTATAATGTCTTATTTACAAGTGTTTTCAAGTTATTTTCATTGTTATATCATATAATTTTCTCAACAAATTTGTCCTAATCTGAGTACTTCAATTAGGAGTTATTAAAATGAGGATGATACTGGTATTCACTGCCACACAGGACAGAGGATCATAATACACAAGACAATAGGCAAACTGTAGACTTTGTACATATACTGAATTACCCAGATTAGGCAAAATTGTAAATTAATTTTGTTAATGTTAATGTTGCAACTTCCCCAGGCTGACGAGCGTCAGCGGATGCTGCTTGGCCAGATATCTCAGGGCCTGGACCGGCTGCTGGCTTCCGGCCCATCGCTGGAAGCCTTCCCAGGAGGTCCTCCAACTGGTGATGATGGTGACGACAACAACGTTCTCAAGAACCTCAAGAAGCTCACCAGGAAGGTCAACACTGTGGACACTTTCATTCAGCAAGAGCTGAGGAAGGTCTCAAATGAGGTCAGTTATGAGGGCAGCTGCGAGGTTTAATTCCATGTTATCTTGGTAATGTTTGATTACTTTTGAGTGATAGTATGAGCATATATTATGGATCTGTCATGTTTATTTTTGGTTTCTTCTGTTTCTGGTAGCTTTTCATTCAATATCTCTAGAACCCTTCATCGTACTGACTTCATACTTTTATATTTTAGTGTGTGTAAAAATGTCTGTCATCTGTGCGATATCTTAAGGAAGCTTCATATTCCTTCCCTCCGTCCTATCCAGGTTCTCAAATCCTTTCCAAGTGTTATATAACCATACTGACAACGCTTTCTCCTGGCCGTTCAGTAATTGTGCTTCTGGAAGAGTTAAGCTTCGGCTCGTTGGTCCCACCTATCTCATATATCAATTTATTTATTTATATACAAGAAGGTACATTGGGGATTAACAGAGAACATAGAAATTGAGTTGATTTTACATTCTTGTAAAGCCACTAGCACGCCAATCACAATCAATCACCTGCAGGTGAAGATCGTTGGCGAGTCTGTGGATCAGCACATGGAGCAGCTTCAGGAGCGTCATGACCGTCTCTCCTCCAGCATGGACACCTGCCAGAGTCAAACTGTGGCGTCCATACAGCACCTGGGAGCCTCTCTGGTCGCCGCCGCCGACAAGATCCAAGAACAGGTGAGAACCATCACACCCGCGGGAAAGGCACCGAAGTGTTTTCCTTATATCAAATTTGCTGTGGATGCTTCATTTTTTAAATTTAGTTTACATTGAACACTAGATTTGATCTCCAAAGTAATAGGTTTGTTAGTAAATATATATATATATATATATATATATATATAATATAAATTAACCTTTGCATATAGATTGATTGTTGCTCGAGAGCTTACATCGTTCCTCAATAAATTTTTTAAGTTTAAAATTTACTATTTATATTAAGCAGTAAATTTTATATTAACTACTTAACATAAGTAGTAATTATAATATTAACAGTTTATTATATAATTATTTATAATTAGGTACTACAAATTCTCAAAGTAGTCTATCGTATACCTGAAATAATTGCTAACCTTTAAACTTATCAGAAACGCTATGCCTGTTAGTTCAAGTTCAAGTATGTTTATTGAGACAAGAAATACAGTAAATACATCTCAAAGGGATAAAGTAGCTTAGGCTCTTTCTACCCCCAGTGCCTGTTAGAAGCTTTGCAAGAATATACCATTTGCCATTGTAATTAATTGTTCATAATTACCATTCATTGTAATTAATTGTTCATAATTACCATTTATTGTAATTAATTGCACCATCGTCATTTCTTTAAATCACACACTAAAAAAAATGTTGTATATGCAGATGGAAGAGCAGCAAGGGTCAGGGTGCAGCGAGGCCAAGAACGTGACCTCTCGCCTGGACACACTCGACCAACACTATCGCCAGCAGGAACACCAACTCCAGGGCTTTACCGAGCAGACGCAGAAGGTGGGTCTTGGACAGTGGCTGGTGCAGACACAGGTGGTGGGTCTTGGTCAGTGGCTGGTGCAGACACAGGTGGTGGGTCTTGGTCAGTGGCTGGTGCAGACACAGGTGGTGGGTCTTGGTCAGTGGCTGGTGCAGACACAGGTGGTGGGTCTTGGTCAGTGGCTGGTGCAGACACAGGTGGTGGGTCTTGGACAGTGGCTGGTGCAGACATAGGTGGTGGGTCTTGGTCAGTGGCTGGTGCAGACACAGGTGGTGGGTCTTGGTCAATGGCTGGTGCAGACATAGGTGGTGGGTCTTGGTCAGTGGCTGGTGCAGACACAGGTGGTGGGTCTTGGACAGTGAATGGTGCAGACATAGGTAGTGGGTCTCAGACAGAGGCTGGTGCAGACACAGGTGGTGGGTCTTGGACAGTGGCTGGTGCAGACACAGGTGGTAGGTCTTGGTCAGTGGCTGGTGCAGACACAGGTGTTGGGTCTTGGTCAGTGGCTGGTGCAGACACAGGTGTTGGGTCTTGGACAGTGGCTGGTGCAGACACAGGTGGTAGGTCTTGGTCAGTGGCTGGTGCAGACACAGGTGTTGGGTCTTGGTCAGTGGCTGGTGCAGACACAGGTGTTGGGTCTTGGTCAGTGGCTGGTGCAGACACAGGTGTTGGGTCTTGGACAGTGGCTGGTGCAGACACAGGTGGTAGGTCTTGGTCAGTGGCTGGTGCAGACACAGGTGTTGGGTCTTGGTCAGTGGCTGGTGCAGACACAGGTGGTGGGTCTTGGACAGTGGCTGGTGCAGACACAGGTGGTGGGTCTTGGACAGTGGCTGGTGCAGACACAGGTGGTGGGTCTTGGACAGTGGCTGGTGCAGACACAGGTGGTGGGTCTTGGTCAGTGGCTGGTGCAGACACAGGTGGTGGGTCTTGGTCAGTGGCTGGTGCAGACACAGGTGTTGGGTCTTGGTCAGTGGCTGGTGCAGACACAGGTGTTGGGTCTTGGTCAGTGGCTGGTGCAGACACAGGTGGTGGGTCTTGGTCAGTGGCTGATGGAGGTACAGAAGGTGGGACTTGGACAGTCAACCCATCCATAAGGGTTATGTGCCTTTGTTATAATCACCACACAGTCTATTATTGCTTCCTGTTAACAGTACCAAATTGCATTACATAATTAGTGCTTTAATGTACAGTACTTCCTATTTTTTATTAGGTTAAGTTTAGGTTAAAGTTGTGTTAAGATTTAAGTTAGGTTGCTGATTAGGTTGAGTTTATGGTTAAGTTAGGTATATTGCATCCTCAAACATGTGAAATTCTTGCCTACGGCACCTCATATATTATCACTATAGCTTCAATCACATGAGCCCTGCAGAGAGCCCTGCAGATTACACAAATGTTTCAATGGAATATGCCAGAAATTTGTTAAGACTTACAAAGTGGATATTAAATGCACATGAAAGAGAAAGCTAAATATAAGTTCGAGTATCTAATGAGTAGACGAAGATAAAATTAATACAGTGTCTTTAATGAGGTACAGTATGTATTGGTATCAAGTAACCATTATTTGATGTTCTGATGTAGTATATATAGGTTTACAATATTTTTATTTTTTTTTTATACAAGAGTTCATACATTCTTGTACAGCCACTAGTATGCATAGCGTTTCGAGCAAGTCCTTAATCCTATGTTCCCTGGAATACGACCCCCACAAAGAATCGTTTAACAACCAGGTACCCATTTTACTGTTGAGTTAAACAGAGGCTACAGTTAAGGATTTGCGCCCAGTAAATCCTTCCCAGCCAGGATACGAACCCAGGACAAAGTGCTCGCGAAACGCCAGGCGAGTGTCTTGACCACTACACTACGGAGGCTGCCAATTAGGCTTTAGGCTTTATGAGGGTTTAGCATATGCTGTTTTTTGAGGGCTTACACATGTCCTACATTACTCAACTGGTGAATAGTTGAAAGCTCTTTCATTTAAAAATATTGAGATTAACCTTCTTGTTGTTATAAGTTATACTAAATTACATACGGTAAATATAAAGAAAAAGCTGATTTGAATTTTAGGAAATAGAACCTTGTTCATATTGTTGCATTAATAAAAGTCTGATAACCCAGCCTTAGGTATTTACTATCGGTGCAAATTGTAATGTTAGCAACTTGGATAATTGTAGCTGATAGCTTGTTTAGAAATATTAGTTTTTGTCAACCTAGTAACTATAGTTCTACTGATATTGATTACAAAAATGTAATAATTTGATATTATGTATGTACTTCAGAGTCTGAATGAGCACTTAGCAACACTGAAGACATTGCTGGAAGAGAGTCATGCTGGTCAAGCCGTCATCAATGCCTCTATGGCCGATCTCGCTCTTAATTTACGCAGCTTAAACATCACTAACCAAGAGGGACTGGGACACTTATCCTCTGATGTCACAACAGCTCTTAAGGACAATGCAGCCACAGTTGCGGAAGCAATGTCATCCATGGTAAATGACCTGAAGGAAGGAACCTCAAATATCATTGACATCCTTGACGACAGGGCCTCTCAGACAGAGAACCTTCAGAATACTGTTTTAGAAAACTATTCTGAATTATCTGCAGAAATTGGTAGCTTGAAGAAGGTAGAACAAGTGATGATTAATACTGCAGATTCTGTTCTTGATACTAAACGTAGCATCGAATTTGGCATTCAACAGATTATTTTAGAACTTGGTGAAATTGTGAAGAATAGTGGCAGTACCATTAACTCAACCCTTTCTGATCAGATTAACAACATTTCCTTTGCCATTCTGAAGAACCAGACTTCTGCCCTGACCAACATGACTGCTAAGATGGAGCAGGAGATCTCACAAGTCTGGCGGCAAATTGGAATTATGTACCAGCAGATGACCCAGTCTGTGGACCTCCTGGACCAGCTGAAGGACACCACAAAACAGCACATGAACGCATCTTTGTCTCGTGTGGGAAGCATGGACGGAACGGTTGACAAGATCAACACAAAGGTGGCTGATGTGGAGAACAACCTCAATTACCTGTTGGGGCGACTCTCTCTAGTGGTCTCTGAATTCAACCTGATGAAGTCTGGTGTAGGGGATGAGCTCATGAGATTAAGGGAGAACTTAGCAAAGGAGAACAATGACAATTCTGTGCATTTTGCTGGATCACAGCCACCACCCGACAGCCGGTATGAAGTTAATCGCAAACGACATGCCCCTTTGCAATCCGAGGTTTATCCAGGACACAATCCTGAGCCCCTTGGTGTGTTCTAGCTGGGTAGTATTTTGCAGCTTTCATTGTTATGTTCACTACCAGTTTTTGAGGTTTTGAACTTGTCTAATCAGTACATCTTAATTTGAACCTAGGGACAAATCTTGAAGTTTGCATAAAATTTAGGGGTATATTTTTAGTGTGGCCATCTTCAATTCATAATCATTGTCATACTTAGTGATGCTGTTATGAGAATTGTACATCATGTGTTAGATGTATTTATCAGGGACTGTGATTGCCAGATAATAACTAGAATCTTTCTAGTTATGGTAATTGGCTCTTGTTAACTACAATGTGGTCTTTGCTGTACTAATGACCAGTGTTGAGGTTGTAACAATAATTAGGCAGAGAACTACAATGATGCATAGCTGGCCCAGCTTGGTTAGTGGTGGGGGTAAGTGCTAACATAAGGTAACCCCATAACAGAATTATCTTTTTTTCTTTAGATTTAGCACATTTTAGTACTGTATTTGATAAACTGGTTTGGAAACATTTGATAAATTTTTTGTAGTTGTATAGTAAATTCTTTGTAGTAGGAAATATACAGTACTGTATTTAGTATTAAAAATTTGTTAAAAAGTTTCTTTCATCAGCCACATGTCTCTGGAGATACCTGAAGGTATTGGTGAATCGATGAGTCAGGTTGCATATGAGTGATGTACAAAACATACAAGCCTGAGGGCCACTATCTTTCGTAGCCTAGACAGACAGGAAGCTAGTGGCTTGTCAAAGGGTTCCCCCATTATTTCTAAGGATTTTTTCCTGCTGAATTTAAAGCTGAAGCAGTGTTTTGGTATTTACAGCTTTGGCAGGTAGATAATTCCATGGGTTTATTAAAGTGCAGGTGCAAAAACCTCTCATGTTTTCTGTCTTACATTGTGGCTTCTTGAATTTGAAGCTGTTGGCCCTTATGTTACACTGTGCCTTTTAAAGAAGTGGTCTGGATTAATATCTTCCAATTTGTTTAGCATTTTAAAGAATCAATGCTTGGCACCTTCTTTGGATAAATATAAGCATACTTACTCAATTAAATCAGCCGTCATGTCTGTATGTAGTGCTAATAGTCCTAAGGCCCTCGTCCATTCCTGGAAAAAATGTTGACTTAGTTCCGAGATGATTTTTGTAGCTTTGCACTAAACTGTCTCCAAAATGTGTAATTTTGAGACCAAAGTCTCCATGCCTGGATACAGTAGTCTGGATGGGGTGCACCAGAGATTTGTGCAGATAAATTACTGTACCACATTCTTTTCCTTGATCAAAGAATCTTTTTTTTTTTTTTTTATTATTATTATTATTATTATTATTATTATTTCTAAGGTTTGGTTGTCTTCTTTTTTCCACTCGTTACTTATTGAGCAACTTTGAATGACTAGTGGATCAGAATTCTCAGGTACTTTTCTTCAACACACTACTGTATGATCATGCTGTTTATATGGTAGTTATGATGTACATGCATATTGTAATGCCCTACATGCAAGGTCTTGCATTTTTCAATATTGAAAAGTATTTGCCTGTCTTTTGACCATTTGTAGAGTTTACGTAGATTGCTTTGCAAGGCCGTGACATCATTTTTTTTATTTCTCATTTTATCATAGAGCTGTGTCATCTGTTAATTTGATGATGTGGTTTGTAATATTCTCATCTACATCATAAGTGTAGGTAACAAACAAGGTTGGCCTCAAGATTTTCCAATCAGATTTATTTGCACATAGGATGAGCTTTTGCTTTCTGTTTTAACCATTGTTTTATCCATTTTAGTACAGTATTGTGTTATTTATTGCATGTGCTTGCAATTTCTGTGAGTCATGTGGTACAATATCAAAAGCTGTAGAGAAGTTCTTGTATTGTACACTACTTCTAGTGGAATTCATTTGTGTAAGTAGCTGGTTACACTTTATAAAATGTGAACAGGTTCATTAGGCAGAATTAATTTTATTTTACAAAACTGTGTTGATTTCACAAGGTTATGCAGTGTGAGATAGTGAATGATTTCCTCCCTTAGGATTCTCTCCATGAGCTTGTAGACATATGAGGTTAGGCTGATTGGTTGCTAGTCTTTTGCTGAACTTTTTCAGCCTGTCTTTAAGATGGGATGTCATTTGCATATTTCCAATCTTGGAGACTTTTCCCTTGATCTAGATACTTGTTGAGTAGCAGTTTTATTGGTACACATAGCTTGTCAGACCACTGTCTACATACAGGAAAACTACTGTATGATGTTGGATTGAAATGTATCCACACTTAGAGGTTTTGATTCCTTTAATTTATCAATGCTTTTCCTGATTATTTTACATGTAGTGGTGATATCCGTTTACTCATTCTCTTCTCCCACTTCAAACACTTATATTTACTATTTGTGTCTGCAGAATCGAGCTATTAGCTCTTGGACCGCCTTTCTAACCAATCTATTTTTACTATATTATATGTACTTCATATATTTCTCTTTAACACACACACATCCCCAGGAAGCAGCCTGGGATGCAGGCGGCTTCCTTGGACATTAAGGACTTGCCCGAAACGCTACGCGTACTAGTGGCTGTACAAGAATGTAACAACTCTTGTATATATATAAAAAAAAAAAAAAAAAAAAAAAAAAAAAAAAAAAAAAAATCAATCAATCAATCACAAGAAACAAGGGATACATCTCCCGTCACACAGGGTCCAGTCGCACCTCCACAGATCTCCAGTATCATCTATTGATACTCTTAATGGTTCAAGAGGACTACCACTTACGGGCCACTTATGGGCCTACCTCAAGGTAACAATCAGGTGAGAACATAAAATATAAGGCTGATCTATTAGCCTCCGTTAGCAAAATCCGGGTACAGCATAAGAATATCTTCCAATATTCCTAAGTGTATGAAGTAATTACAGAGTTCAAAGTACCTTATACCAATTTTTCTGAAGTCACTTATAACAGGGCAATCACAGATATAGTGTTGGTGAGTATGTCCCAGCTCTTGTTCACATAGTTTACAATTGGAATATTCACCATTGGGGGCTATTCATTACCTGCAGCCACCTGCGATACATATCGATATCCTAGCCTAATTCTGGCAATTACAATGTCACACTGTCATTTTGACACTAGTGGAAGTTTTATGCTGTCCGTTCATATAATCAGTTTACAATCAAAATGTTAGGTCACTTGGTAAACATTTTGATGATATAAATGCACTACTTACAGCACTAGGTACTAAATTATCGTTCATCATTTTAACTGAAACTTGGCTAAGTAATGACTATACCCAACTCTACAATTTAGCTGGTTATAAAGCCATTCATAACTGCAGGCCTAACAAAAAAGGTGGTGGTACAGCAATATATTACAAAGATACCTTCATTTGCAATAGTGTCATTAGTGATAGAGACGACTATTGTGAATAGTCGTTGCACACCACTACACCACTACACCACAGTCTCCGTGGTGTAGTGGTAAGACACTCGCCTGGCGTTCCGCGAGCGCTATGTCATGGGTTCGTATCCTGGCCGGGGAGGATTTACTGGGCGCAATTCCTTAACTGTAGCCTCTGTTTAACGCAACAGTAAAATGTGTACTTGGATGAAAAAACGATTCTTCGCGGCAGGGGATCGTATTCCAGGGACCATAGGATTAAGGACTTGCCCGAAACGCTACACGTACTAGTGGCTGTACAAGAATGTAACAACTCTTGTATATATCTCAAAAAAAAAAAAAAAAAAAAAAAAAAATATACCTTTGCCAAGTTCTCCAGTACAGTAAATCCCTTAAATCCTCCCTGATAATCGGTGCCATCTATAGATTTCCTAATACCAACATAGCTTTATTCTCTGACAATGTAAGGAATCTTATCATAAATAACAATCTCAACAAAAATCACATTATTCTGGGAGGTGATTTCAATATTGACCTGGGTCTTCAAAACAACCCTCAAGTTGACTATTTCCGTAACAGCATGCACTCCTGTATGCTAATCCCCACAATCACCAAGCCCACCCGAGTCACTCAAACATCTGCCACTACCCTGGATCACCTATGGACTAATATAACAGCTCCCCTTACATCTGGGGTAATTTATGACAGAACAACTGACCACTATCCTACTTTCCTCATAGCAAACATTGACACATCACCACCAGAAACCAAAAAACTTTCATTCAGGCTACATAGTGAATCAGCTTTAGGCAATCTCTCTAATGCACTTCACAATATTAACTGGGAATCTGAATTTAACAATTCACAGGATATAAACTCATCAACAAACCTCTATCTCTCCAAAACTCTAAGCCTCTACAACACTCACTGTCCCCTCCTTACCAAACAAGTAACTGATAAAAGAAAAAATAACCCGTGGCTCACAAGTGGCATAATTAAATCAATCAACAAAAAACATGAATACGAAAAGAAATTTAGGAGTGGCCTAATTTCAATGGAAGTACAGTAGTTAAAAGGTACTCATCAGTGCTTACCAGTATCATAAGAAAAGCAAAACTTTCATATTATGAGACTAGATTCAAAGAAGCAAAAGGCAACATGAAAAGCACATGGAATACCATCTCTAACATCCTGGGAACTAAACAACACTCCCACAACCAGATAACTCTCTCTAAGGATGGCCTTACACTGTCATCTGACTTAGAAATGGCGAATGAATTTAATAGCTTCTTTTCATCGATTGGTGCTAACCTTGCAAGTAAAATCCCACAGACTCAGACACATATCAACACATATCTCTCAGGCAGCTATCCAAACTATCTTCTCCTCTCACCAGTCAGCCCGTCAGATGTTGTGTCCATCATACACTCACTAAAAACCAAAGCTGGGAACATCAGTGAAATCCCATCCATTGTATACAAGAGCACCTCCCATGCCCTTGCACCACCTATAGCTCTGCTGTTCAACAAATCCCTTGAGTGTCATACCTTCCCTGATATCCTTAAAAACGCAAGAGTAACGCCAGTTCATAAAGGAGGTAATCTGTCAGACATAAACAACTACAGACCAATATCGAACCTACCCATACTATCAAAAATATTTGAAAAAATTATCTACAAACAGCTCTACTCCTATCTCGTAAAATGCGACATTCTTAGCCCCTGTCAGTTTGGCTTCCGCTCTCAAAAGAGTACCAACGATGCAATTATTAGTCTCCTTGATATAATTTACTCTGCCCTTGACAAAAATGAGTTTCCAATTGGACTCTTCATTGACCTGAGAAAGGCCTTTGATACTGTTAATCACGATTACCTCTTATGTAAACTCCATCATTATGGAATCCGAGGCCATGCACTGGACTATATCCAATCCTATCTTAGTGATAGACACCAATGTGTAGCCATCAATAATATAATCTCACCCATTCTACCAATAACCGTTGGAGTGCCTCAGGGCAGCATCTTGGGACCCCTACTATTTCTTATATACATTAATGATCTGCCTAATGTCTCTAACATTCTGAAACCTATTTTGTTTGCTGATGATACTACCCTCATTTACTCCAACCCCAACCCACATACACTAAATGATGTTGTTAATAATGAACTAAAAAAAGTCCACTTATGGATGTCAACCAACAAACTAACACTTAACATAGAAAAGA